GGTGCGTGTGCTCTAGTTTAGGTAATGTATGGACTCTCACACAGCAACAAAGGCCCTCCTTCAACCAATGTGTTTCCTATTAATTGGAGGAAGAGAAGAATGGAGTCGAGGAGCGAGAGACGGAAATCATATATTTATAGACATTCACAGCAAAAGAAAAACACTCCAGTTTTTAATGCAAAATTGGGAACAATAAAAAAAAAAAAAAAATTTCACCGTCAGCTAACACTAACTTCAACTGAATGGAATGAAATTAAAACTAACTTCAACTGAATGGAATGAAATTATTTCTTTATATTTCTTCCCCTGAAGCTAACTGAACTAGCTCAGTTTCATCGACTCATCACGATGGAGCCGAACAGGAAAGAGAGCGTCAACACAGGCTGCTGCAAAGTTTCAGATCAATCAATCAATCAATCAATAAAAAAAATCTATTTGCATAACCTCACTAAACCTCCTCTAAAGCTGCCAATTAGTGCTGAATTTATTAAGGCAATAAAAGAACCAAATTGAAATCAGCTTCCTGCCTCGGCTGAGCACAACATCAGTAACCTACGCAACACCTCCGAAAAAATCAGTTATGCATTTGTTGTTGGCGGGAGGAATAATTTAAAATTTAATTTAAACTTAATTAGCAATATTCAACACCACGACCAAAGATGTTTAATCGAAACTAATTTATGTCTGTACTGTGAAAGTGATGAGCTAACGTTAGCTTCAACAGTCCTGGAACAGACACCAGAGCTAACGTTAGCTACGACAGTCCTGGTAAGAGCTAACGTTAGCTCTGGTGTCTGTAGCAGGACTGTTGTAGCTAACGTTAGCTCTAGTGTCTGTAGCAGGACTGTTGTGGCTAACGTTAGCTCTGGTGTCTGTACCAGGACTGTCGTAGCTAACGTTAGCTCTGGTGTCTGTAGCAGGACTGTTGTAGCTAACGTTAGCGCTGGTGTCTGTACCAGGACTGTTGTAGCTAACGTTAGCTCTGGTGTCTGTACCAGGATATTTTCCATAGTCTAGCAGCCTTGTATTTTGTTTGTTTTCACATGTTAAGGTCATGACCCCAGACAAGTCCAATGTCCAAAAAACACTGATACCAACTCACTCACTTGTACATTTACAAGTAAAAAAAAAAATTCCCTGCACCATTATCCTGCATCACATCGACGTCCTCGTCTGAACCAGAAGGACAAGTGAGACACGTGCTGAATAAATGTGAAAAGCTCCGTGGGAGTGTGACACCCAGTCTGTAAGGTAACAAAGTCCAACTCAGGGCACACACTGATCAGTCAGAGTTGTGCTTGTTGTTCATCGAGCATCTTCAGTCTGTGACCTTCCATTCAGCATAAATCTCTGAACTAAAAAGCCAGACCTGGCATCCCAAAAACCCCCAGACGAAGCTGGTGATGAATCTGTTTAGATCGTTAAACTACACCAGTCACAAAGTCCCAGAAGAACAACAGAATAAAAGCCCAACGCAAAAAAACAAAAACAAATAAATTTTTAAAAAAAATTCAGTTTTAAATAAATTTTAAATTATTTTCTGAGATTCTTGGGATATACATAAAAAATAAAAAATGTATTATTATTATACGGAAAACTTTGGGGAAAGAGAATATTGGTGTTGCAGCTGCTTTCAAGATGTTTGGATAAGGCTGGGAAATATTTAGATAAAAATAAAAAAAATAAAAAATGTATTATTATTATACGGAAAACTTTGGGGAAAGAGAATATTGGTGTTGCAGCTGCTTTCAAGATGTTTGGATAAGGCTGGGAAATATTTAGATAAAAATAAAAAAAATAAAAAATATAAAAAAATATATATATATATATTATATTATATTATATAATTAGGTAAATCGTGTTAAGTGTTAGAAATTAGATTCAGAAATTTCAAATCTGGCAACACAGTCAAAATATTTCTCAATAAATCTATTGACGAAAAATTCCTACATTGACCAGAATTTTGGTACTGATTAAATTTTAAAACTAAAAGACTACGAAACAAAATACTAAAATATAGAAAAGTATTTTTTTCTTTAGAAATATCCAACAAACTGAAACACAACAGTATTTAATCCAGTTCTTAATTCTGATCAACAAGTGATTACGAAACAAGAACCGTTTCATAATCACCTCTGATTGGACTCATATTTTACACCGACTACTTTTGGTAAACGCCCTCCTCTGAGTCGGTAAAAAAAAAACAGGTTGGGTTCATGACACCTGAAAAATTTGAAATGGAAATTTGCCAAAAAACGCAGCAGTGATGATTATTTGACAGGACGTGTCCTCGTGTTTGACCTTTGACCTGTGAACTGGTATTTTGTCAAACAGGAACTTGAGCCAAAACAAGAACCAGATCCACAACTGAGGATCAAACAATCAAACAAACAAAGTCGGTCTTATTTGAATACAGTGACACCCACAGGTGTGTTAGGTAATGACACACCCAGAAAGAAAACAGGATCTGTGAGCTGTCCTCAGGCGACCGACCGCAGCGACAACTCCACTCCGTCAGACGGGAGTTCCTCCTTCTTCCCTTTCCATAGATTCACAGACAACTTTGACACATTTGAACAACAGTGGGCGCTCACGAGGAGCTGTCGTCCAGGCGACTGGCAACCAGCTCGAATCTGCACTAAATTAAATTGTTGATTGTTTCTTGATTATGTTTTTACACGTACTGTTAATAAAGTGTTATTTTAAAATTAAAAAAAAAAAAATCTTATTTTTCTTCTCCTCCTCCTTCTCCATCTGTCCAGTGTAAAACCTGACTGAGGGAAACCGGGTCAGCACACACAGCGCCACAGTGAGGAGGAGCTCGTAAAAGAACGTCATGAGCGTGAGTGCATGTGTACATTGGGCGACGCTGCTGCGTTTGTCGTTCGTTCGTTCGTTCGTTCTCGCTCCGACAGATCCGGCGTTCACCCCTGGACCAGAGACAGAGACAGAGACACATCTTGGCTCCTCGTCTCTCCTTGAACAAATCAGACCACAGAGGCTAATAAAAAAACTTGCCTCCTCAGACGAGGGGGTACCAGAGGGGGGAGGAACTCTCCCCCGTCTCCACACCATCCAAAGCAAACTTGTGTAAAACAGAGGCTTTCTTTTCAGTGGGAACAGAAAGTGCCAGTCTCTCTCTCTGTCTGTGGTCTACAGACTGTCTGTGGTCTACAGACTGTCTGTGGTCTACAGACTGTCTGTGGTCTACAGACTGTCTGTGGTCTACAGCCTGTCTGTGGTCTACAGACTCTCTGCGGTCTACAGACTCTCTGTGGTCTACAGACTGTCTGTGGTCTACAGCCTGTCTGTGGTCTACAGACTCTCTGCGGTCTACAGACTCTCTGTGGTCTACAGACTGTCTGTGGTCTACAGACTGTCTGTGGTCTACAGCCTGTCTGTGGTCTACAGACTCTCTGCGGTCTACAGACTCTCTGTGGTCTACAGACTCTGGACCTGACAGAAACGTACATTAATAATTCCATAAAATCAAATTCACTAGTTCAACATCTGAACTCACAGATGGACCAATGAAACAACAACTGTTCAAACAGCGCCATCTAGGCAAAGGAAAAAAAAAAGACCCAGAATGACACTGTACTTAAAAAAATTGATTTGTACTATCAGAGAGTCTGTGATCAAGAAACTGGGTGACCCCTGCAGTAGGACTGCGACCTTTGACCTCTACAGTAGGTCAGTTCTAAAGTGACACTGTCGACTTCTGCGACAGCTTTCTGATCATCAACAGAGGTTGTGAAATTTTTTCCGCTGACGGTCTAATCCTAACTGTGGTCGGACCTTGACCAGGTGAGCTCGTGAGCGGAGGCTCTTGTTCAAACGCAGCCACGTGGAGCAAGAGGAGGAAACAGGAAGGTGAATAACCTGTCTGAAGAAACACTCAGGTTGTAAAGTTCCAACAACAACAACAGCAACATCTCAATAATCACCCGTTCAGTCAACGGCACGTGTCAACCAACTCCTCACCTTCACGTGAACCAGGCAGCAATCGTTCAACAACACATACGGACGAGTACTGTTCACGTGTCAAAAGTCGAAACTCGACCGCAGAACCAGAAATGAAATAACCACCCCCACCATCCACCCCCCCCGGTGGAAGGCGTCGTTCCTGCAGCGGATCAGCCGGCGTCTTTACTGAGTGTGTTTACAATGAGAGGACTCTGTCATATTTAACAGGCTGACTGAGGTAAGCTTCAGTAAACACCTGAGACGTTCTGGCCTCAGCAGACACAGGCAATTACCCAGTTAGTGGCCTCACGGGGCAACAGAAACGGAAAGAGAAAAGTGAATGAAAATAGAAAGAAAAGAAAAAAAAAAAAAAAAAAGATCGGTGTCGATTTTCCAGCATGTGTTCAACCAGGTCAGAGTGTTTTCACTGCCATTAGTGGAGCAGGTCAATCAATAACACTAACACTGTCCATCACTAACCAGCACTACATCACTGAATATCACACCAGATGCTAACAGGGATGTTAATCTGGATGTAGTTAGTTACACGTTTTGATCAAATTTTTAATTTTAAGTCTCAAAAACATACACAAATATATATGCAGTCGCTGTATAACCACCTAGTGGTCAGAGGTTTAAATGCAACACGAAAATCCACGTGTGTCCACGAGTTGAAAAAAAATTTTCAAAAAAAAATTTTTTTTGAAAAAAAAATTTTTTAGAAACAAATTTTGAAAAGATTTTTTAGAAAAAAAAAATTTTTGAAAAAATTTTTTTTTTTTTAAAAATTTTTCAAGAAAATTTTTTTCAAAATTTTTCAAGAAATTTTTTTTTCAAAGACTAACCAACATTTTTCAAAAACTGACCAATTTTGAATGACCAAAGAATGGACAGAATCAGAGATGAGGTCATAGAGGGACAACACAGACAGGAGAAAGCTGAGTCAGAGTGTGTGGGGGGAGGCAGGGGAGGGGGGGGGGCACTGCAGGTACCAAATGAAGTACAACCTCAGTACTGTGTATTTGTGAACTAGCCGACGTGAAAGGCAGTGATTAAAGTTGGTGAAGTTTGGTAACGAAGGGAGAGAGAGAGAGAGAGAGAGAGAGAGAGATAACTGAGCCATATGAAACCAACTTCCTGATTGGTGCCGAAAAAAAAAAAAAAAAAGCACTTGTTCTGTTGTTGAACTTTAGGGACAAAGGGGGGGG